ACAACGATTACTGTAGTCACTCTGCTTCCATGGATATTTGAAGAGCCATCATTTTAACCATGGGAAGACTGTTAATTAAAAAACTTTAAACAACAAAGGAATCCATCCTATGTGTAGGGTGTTTGGGAGATCCTTTAACCAATTACAGGAGCCCTGGTGGCATAGTGGTTACACATTGGACTGCTCACCTCAAAGTCAACAGTTCGAAACCGCCAGCTGCTCGGCTAAAGAAAGAAGAGGTTTTCTACACCTGGAAAGAGTTATAGTCTTGGAAACACATGGGGGCAGGTCTACCCTGTCCGGTGGGTTGCTGTGAGTCAGAACTGATTTATTAGCAGTGAGTGAGTGAGTGAATGAGTTAACCAAATGCCATCAAGTTCATTCCAATTCATGGCAGCATTTGGAATTTGGCCTTGGTGACAGAATGGCAGTGACGGAGTGAACAGATATGTAAGTGACAGAAGCGAACTGCGCTCCATGGTTTTCAATGGCGGATCTTTTAGAAGTAGATCATCAGGGCTTTCCTCTGAGGTCCGACGGGGTAGACTCAAGCTTCCAACCTCTCCGTTAGCCCAGGGTGCTCACCATTAGCGACACCCAGGGCCTCCAGAGCTCCTTTTCAATGGAGTCCTAGATCCGTTTTAACTTCTCCATCCTGGCCCCTGTACTCTCCCGGAGATAGTCAGCTCCTCTGTTTTTCTCAACTTTTTCCAGGGCCAGTTTATTGAGCTGTGCAAGACCATGTACAACATGTTCAGCGAGGACCCCAACGAGCAGGAGCTGTACCACGCCACGGCCGCCGTGACCAGCCTCCTGCTGGAGATCGGGGAAGTGGGCAAGCTGTTTGTCACCCAGCCCGCCAAGGAGGGCGGCGGGACCGCCGGCAGTGCGCCCCCCTGCAGCCAGAGCCTCCCGGGCATGCTCTTCTCCAAGAAAGGGCCCGGCCAGCCCTACGGCGCCACCGCGGAGTCCGTCGACCCCCTCCCGGCCACCCTGACCGCCGACAGCGAGGAGCACTCCCTGGGAGGGCAGATGGAGGACATTAAGCTGGAGGACTCCTCACCCCGGGACAACGGGGCGTGCTCCTCGATGCTGATCTCGGACGATGACACCAAGGACGACAGCTCCATGTCGTCCTACTCGGTGTTGAGCGCTGGCTCCCACGAGGAGGACAAGCTGCACTGCGAGGACGTTGGGGAGGACACGGTCCTGGTGCGCAGTGGCCACGGCACGGCAGCACTGCCTCAGAGCGCCAGCCTGGACCGGGACTGGGCCGTCACCTTCGAGCAGTTCCTGGCCTCCCTGCTAACTGAGCCCGCCCTGGTGAAGTACTTCGACAAGCCGGTGTGCATGATGGCCAGGGTGACCAGTGCGAAAAACATCCGCATGATGGGCAAGCCGCTCACCTCGGCCAGTGACTATGAGATCTCCGCTCTGTCGGGCTGACGAGGGCGGGACGGGAGAGTCTTTTTTATGTTCTTATGTGTTGGGCTTTCTTTCTTTTAAATTAAATATTTATTAGGACCTGGCTGGAAGCCTGGTGTTTTCATAATATAATACAACGAAAACTGTTGGAAAACTATTTAAGCACCTCCATGTAGGTACCGTACACACTCTTACTCTATTGGTGAGGTGGGAGGGGGTGGGCGGGGATGTATCAGAATACTGTTTATTCCGTGAATTTAAAAAGAAAAATGGGGGGGGAAATCAAACAAGATGAATCTGTCAGTGATATATGTGTGTATTATACCTTATTACTCTTGCTGTTGAGCTGTAGACATGGTTTAAAAAAAGAATGCTATTTAATGCTAAATACGGTGGCCATCATTTGGGGCTTTTTAAATAAAATAAAGGCTGTGAGGAAAACAGAAGGAGCAGTCTGACATGGGAAAGGCATCGCCAGCCGGGTAAGTCCCTCACCACACCATGGTAGGAGCCACGCAAGGTATTTTTTTAGGATTTAAAAGAGATTTTGTACAACACCCTCGCGATTCAAAACTCATGATCAGCAGCTGGTGTCCCCTCAGAGGAAACACACGTCAGGCTCGACGCCAGTATGACTGCATGGATGACTGGCGTGTGGTGCCGGAATAGCACTTGGCTCTGGGCACGCTGGAGACATAGCCAGGCCGGTTCGTCTTCCCAGCACAAACACACGCGCAAACACGCTGTCCTGTTCCATGGCATCAGCCGGCCCGCGCCGCGTCCTCTTGTGTTATGGAGGATCTGCAAGTGGCCACAAAGATGGTAGAGGCTGCATCCCCACCCCCCACCCCCACCCCACCCCCCACACTGGAAAAGTACAAGTACTGATATTTTG